TGGATGCCATTTTGTCACAGGAGAGGTTTGCCTCAAGAATAGATCCTAGGTATGTAATTTCCTTCTTACTTGTGACAATAATGTCACCCACTGCAACTGAGAAGTCGTCGGATTTGCTGAGATTATGTTTCGAACCGAAGAGAATGGACTCTGTTTTACCCAGGTGTAATGATAATTTATTATCGGCGAGCCAGGTGCAGATTCTGCCGAGCTCGGAGCTGAGGGTTTTTTTCAACCTGCAACCTGTTCCTGTCAGAGACCAGCAGGGCTGAGTCGTCCGCGAACAGGAACAAAGTTGCAGTCACATGCTGATGACATGTCATTTACATAAATTAGGAACAGAGTAACGGACCTAATATGCTTCCTTGTGGAACACCACAGCTCACTGGGAGGGGGGGGGGGGGGGGCAGAGTACCGTTTACCTCCACCATCTGTTCTCTCCCCTCCAGGTAGGATTGCATCCAGCTCACCGATAGTTTATGAAGAATGAGAGGTAGAGGTAGAGCTGGAGGGAGAGGACGTGGACAAAGAAGAATACTCTCTAATGAAATGTTATCAACCATGGTTTGACGATGAGAGAGGCTGGACAGAGGGTTCAGCCTAATCTAAGCCGATTTACTGTTGCCTCTGTAATCCGGACATTTATGGCGTGTTTCCACTGCAGCGGGTAGCTCGCTTTAAGCATGCCGAGCCGTGCGGGGCCCGTTTTTCGTTGCGTTTCCACTTGGCCTAGTCTTGGCCCGGGGCTACTTTTTCACCTTTTTTCTGGCCCGACTAAATCGTGGTTCTAGGGCCAGGAACAACCAGGCTGAGTCGGGCTGAGTATGCTAAACTAGAGAGAGAATCGCTGGCAGGGGGCTACAACTACAACAAGATGAACATATTTGACCGTGATTTAATTGCAATACACGTTTCAAAATGATGCCGAAGTAACAACATACTGATACCGGTTAGTAAAAACCATGAATTAATGCTTTGACAAGTATGCAGACAGACGGCAGGCGAAAAACCCTTTTAAAATGCGTGCTTTCTAAATGGAGCTTGGCTTGGCACAGCCTCACAATGTCAGGAACTTTTCATCAACAGATTGCTTTGGTCTGGTTTTACTCTTCACTGATTGGTTACAGACACTATGAACTCAGTGGCTATGGAAATCAGAAGGAGGGGCTCATTATCATATTAAAAAACGCCCGTTTTTTACGCGCGAAAAACGGGCGAAATAAACGTGCGAATAGTGGCATTTTAGGCTTTCCATAGTTCCACTTGATAACCCGTGTTGTAGGACTGCTTAGCGAGGGCGCGTATGTTTTGGATTAGGCCAACCGGCTAACTCAAACATATCCAGGTTAGGTTGAACCGGCTTCGTAGTACAGGCCTCTGAGAGCTGCGGAGTTTCATTCAGACTATTTCTTTTTTAAACGGTCTAATTTGATCATTGCACAACAATGAACTCAATGTGTGATTGTTATAGCAGTATTAAACAGTAATAATACAGTAAACTATTAACAATAATATTATAGTAAATATTCTTGTTTGCCCGTGGTGAGATGACGAGGCTCCATTCAAAATAAACCTCTTTTTAGTGAATTACTGAGTTTAGGCAAGTTAATAAAGTTGACTACAGCAAATTAATATTTGTTAGTGCTTTCATGTCAATTTGGCGAACATAAACATAAATGATCGTGAAGATGATGATTAAATTATGATTACAAATCGGTAGTGAGAGCCATGCTGCCTTTCCTCCCGTCGGATGTGATACAAAAACAAACCGATTATTTTTGTAGTTGTAAACTCACGTGGATTAAACCACATTTATTTCGTTAAATAGAAACGAAATAGGATTTTTTTTAAATGATTAAAGAATATGATTATATCCGTGACCAGCTTTTATGGAGAAAATAAGTTATATAATTATTAACCAGAGGCATGTTTCTCACTATTTTATGCATAGAAACAACAGGCTACTGTGTGTGTGAGGAATCAGCTGTTTATTATGAGTTCCCCTGAGAGCTGCCGTTTTCATTCAGACTATTTTTTTAAAAACAGTCTGATTTTAACATTGCACAACAATGAACTCAATGTGTGATTGTTATAGCAGTAATATTAAACACTAATAATACAGTAAACTATTAACATTGTACATATTCTTGTTTGCCCGTGGGGAGATGACGAGGCTCCATTAAAAATAAATAAATGTTTAGTGAATTACTGAGTTTAGGCACGTTAATACAGTTTTAATGAAGTTGACTACGGCACATTCATGATTGTTAGTGCGTTGTCAATTCGGCGAACATATGATGGGTTAGGCTAGGTTTTTTCTACAGGAACAAGTCCTGTTTCTCGCTTGAAGCCAGGAAAAGGCTAGTCACTGTGACCTTTTTACCTGTGCTGGACTATGGTGATTTGATGTATATGAATGCACCTGCCAATTGCCTGGTCAAGTTAGATGCTGCGTATCACAGCGCACTGAGATTTGTGACAAACTGTAAAGCATTAACCCATCACTGTACCCTGTATGCAAGGGCTGGTTTGCTTTCACTAACTGTACGGAGGCTCAGTCACAGGTACATTTTTATATACAAAGCCATGTTAGGGAAACTTCCATCTTATATCTGCTCCCTGATCTCACGGAAAATTGTAAGTGGCTACTGCCTGAGATCGAATGCTGTGGTTTTATTAAATGTGCCAACTGCTAGGACTGTCTTAGGGAAGACAGCTTTTAGATGCGCAGCTCCTCTGTCTTGGAATAGTCTGCAAATTAAATGGAAACTGAACAATCTGGTGCCACTAAATGTTTTTAAAGCTCGGTTGGATGCTACTCAATCGGAAGCTATTGGTACCTGTTTATGTGGATAATTATGTAAATGATGCTGAATGATGTCCTTTTGTTGTTCTATTTATGTTTTTATGTCTCATGTGGAACTACTTGAGCAGGTCTCCCTTGAAAAAGAGATCAATGATCTCAATGGGATTTATCTGTATAAATAAAGGTTTGAAATGAAATGAAATGAATGAATGCTTTGACAAGTCTGCAGACAGACGGCAGGCAAAAAACCTTTTAAAATGTGTGTTTTCTAAATGGAGATCAGCTAAGCTAACGCAGTATCCGAACCGTTCACACTCACAACAACGGCCTACAGACATAAATAAACCAGCGACTGTATTCGCCATGACACAGACAGTCTGTGGTTTGTAATACTACAGCTACTAAACTGTAATGGAAACGCAGCATAAAGTGAGCCTGGCCTAACAAGGCCTAACTATACCGTACTAAGCCGAGCGAGGCCTGCAATGGCAATGCGCCATAAGTGCTGGGAACTAAGTGCTGGGAACTAAGTACGGCAAAGTACTTGGTGTGAAAGCGGATATTGTCACCCGGTAAATTAATCTATATGTGCATTATGCGGACGACACACTACTGTATTGCTGCATTTCTCTCTGTTTGTCAAGCTGGCATTGTTTTTCCTACAAACTGTAAACATGTATGGCGTATTTCACAAATGACTGTTAACACTGCTATTACTGGAATATTCTCAATAAAATAACTAAGTTAAAGAATAAGTCTTTACAATAATTTGTTTTACCGTTGGGGGTTATGTAGCTAGATTATCAGTGACTTGACCTTGGCTAATTAAGCAATAGCTCACGACAGGCCGTGGTATATGCTCATTATATCACAGCTAAGGGGCGTGGCGACAACCCCCTTAGCTGTGATATAATGAGCATATATCACGGCCTGAAGTGAGCTATTGCTTTTATAAAACGGTTACCAAGTGTGGCAATATGAAAGAAAAATACACACTCTAATTTAAATAGTTTTTATTAGTAAATAATGATGTTCAAAATAAAATAGTCCCTCCGTTGCCTTCTGCACGAAACATAGTGCGAGGTGGTTGCTATGCAACAACACTAACAGCTAGCGAACATATTAGACAGAGAGCGTTGATCCATTATTTGGCTATTTATTTACATTCATTTGTATGTTGCCGTTTATTGTGCAGCCACTGAAAAACTGTCCAGCATCAGTAGAATGGCTTACGAGGTTACTTGTATAGGTTGAGGTTGTTCTGGGCTGTTGCTTGGCGTGGTCAGAATATTGCTCCACTTTCTCCGGTCCCCGAGATTTGGCTGCCAGTAGCTCTGGAGAGAGCTTTCGCACCTGTGGCCACTAACGGTCATAATTTCTCTGCTTTGTTTCAAGACCCTCATCAGAAAGCTTTTGAATGGTGGTACTTTTCGAGTTGGTCTACCTGCTCTTCACGTAGCTCTGCATTTTGTCGTTTAGGTGCTTTTTTTTCTTTCTGGAGATAGGCACTCCTCAATCCACTCCTCCATAGTAAGACCCCCCCGGAGGTCGAAGTTAATCTTAAATGTTTCCATCTTATGCTTTGTAAGTTTGTTTCGTAACGGAAGAAATGGAAATATATAAAACTGACAAGTCAAATCAAGCAATCTGATTGGTCGATAGTGTTTTTGCGGACCTCTTTGATTACAGATTTGAAAACATTGTTGCTTGCTTTAAAAGTAGCTCAATTCATGATGTCAAACATTGGAAAGTATCTAGATATCCCTGCCATAATGCCAAAGGAACTGCACACTGAATATGTTTTGCCGTTTGATGTCTATGTTTGGACCGCTGCGTAAAAACGAGGGTTTCTGCCCCGTTACTTCTCCGCTGCTTTCTTGTTCCAGTTTGAAAACGGTATACTGTTTTACTCAGACGCGGAGGGATACTGACTTGTTGTGAAAAGTAATTTACAATTCTACCCGTGGTATACGCTCAGTATATCACGGCTAAGAACCAATCAGATTGCTTGATTTGACTTGTCCGTTTTATAATCTTTAATATAAAGTGTGTTTATGTACATATATCTTTGATGGGTTATAACTGTTTTAAAATCCTGATTAAAACATGACATATCATCAAGAGAAAGACAAGTATATAAACCAGATTTGAATATTTTATTTTATTTTGAAGGTGTTAGTGTGTTGAGGCTGCGCTGACACTTCCGGCCAGCTGAGTGCAATGCTAATGTGCTGCTAACAGTACAATGCTAACAGCCCCGACGCTGTGGATACCTTTTCTGCGCCGCAGCCAGTGAGTAAGTTAACATCACACACTGCTTTAACTAACGTTACCACCTCTACTGCCAATGTGTTGCCTTATGTAGCTTCCCCTCTCCTCGCTGTAAACACGACCAAGTGTCGTTTTCGACAGTAACGGGAACTGAACATTAGGGTACTGTACGTGGATTCAGTGACATATTTAGACACCGTTAATCTGGTACAGCTAACAGAGCCGAGGCCGAGGTAGATGACAACGTGTGTGTGTGTGTGTGTGTGTGTGTGTGTGTGTGTGTGTGTGTGTGTGTGTGTGTGTGTGTGTGGGGGTGTGTGTGTGTGTGTGTGTGTGTGTGTGTGTGTGTGTGTGTGTGTGTGTGTGTGTGTTGTGTGTGTGTGTGTGTGTGTGTGTGTGTGTGTGTGGTGTGTGTGTGTGTGTGTGTGTGTGTGTGTGTGTGTGTGTGTGTGTGTGTGTGTGTGTGTGTGTGTGTGTGTGTGTGTGTGTGTGTGTGTGTGTGTGTGTGTGTGTGTGTACGGAGGACCTTATGTGTCTGTTTGTGATTAGTTAGCATCGTAGCTAATCCTTGTTTCACTACATTTCCTAGCTAACATCACCTATTGTTACATTACTTCAACCCTATGGGGTTTAAATCGATGTTGTTAGGAAAACTGGCGTAATCGGTTTGTATGGAGCAATTGTTGATATGTTTTTAAACTGCTGATGTAGCGTTAGCCTGTTAGCAGCGACCTGCTATGTCCACGATAAGAGCACATGCATAGAGTATGAAGGCTACATAACAAAGTGGTATAAAGGGGGTCCCGCATGTCCACACATACAGGATCATAATGAAACACGAGTTCTCAGCTGTTACAAACCATATGGGATACTTTACAGCATAAGACCAATCCATGAGAGACAAAGCACTTCTCATGTGATAGGGACTGTATTGACCTCTTCTACAAGCCTCCTCCACTTCTTCTATTGTGGACACCTTGGTCTTTATTTTGATTATTTGTTACAGAAGTAGTAGCCACTAGTTTGTCACACTGTTGTTCTCAAAATGCTGGATTTTTGTATTGCCCTTTTGTTATCAAAATAAATTTGATTACTATAATAAAGCTATAAAAGTGCCAATTCCCAAACCAAATGACAAGTGTAACAGCAGTGTGTATCTACAGTTTGACCATGGAGCGTCCTCTGTGAATGGCATGTCCTCTGTCAGGGCTGACATGGGCGCGGTGTGTGAGAGTCAGTTGTTTTGAGTCTTAATGGGACAGTTTGGAGGACGGATCTGTCTCTGGGCTTCACAGACATACTGATACCAATATTGCTATTCAACAGCTACAATAATCATAACAGTATTTTCTTGCCTTAATTATAAACTCACTTGTCTGATATCGATGCCCTGAATTTGTCCATTTAAAGTTGTATATATGTATATAATTTTTTTTTTGCTGTTATTTATTCCCTAAAAACAAAATCATCTTCATTATGTTCAATGATATTGAACTGTTTGCTATTTAAAGACCTAAAGTCACGTGACACTCAAGTGGCGACTCTCTAAACATTCTGTGGTCTGCAGGTTTTGTACGAGTTCGCTTGGAAACTCGACTGAGGTTGTTCTAAAAAAAGGACCAGGTACTATCCTGTAGTGTAGTGGATAAAAAAAGAGCGGAGCGAATGAGTCCATTAGAGCTATTACCATGCAGTGGAAACGCGATTCTCGTCCCAGAACATCTTCAAGAGTAGACGATATGAAAACATTTCAATTTCCCATTTGTTTAATCAGTCTCACTCCTTTTAGTCTTTATTTGCAATTAGTCAAAAGACCAATGCCTTTACACACGCAGTAATAGGCTATGTGTTATCATAGTGAAATGTGAAGGAACATTTAACAAATGCATTTGAATTGCTTACAAGCATTTACCTCAAATGTAATTGTATCAGTACAAATGTATCCCAAGTCTTTATTAAGCCTTCATTTCGAGCCTTTGTTGTAAGAGCATGGAACATCTGCCTCCCCTGCAGCAGGATATGATCCCTTTTGTCATTTACATCATGTGCAGCTATAGGAGTTAAGGGCCACGGACACTGCATTTGTCCATACTAATCCAGCTATTCCGATGTGTGTGTAACCTAAAGTGCTATGTCAAAATATAGCCAAACAAAGCCTTGAAGAGCTCTGTAAGTGTTCTGGCACTACGTATACTGCTACATCACCAGGCTGAATGTTGATGTAGACATTGCCTTCTTTGCCATTGTATTGAATCCACCAATGCAGAGCCCTCCCGTCCTAGGCCAGGGAGGATGCTTGCTTTCCATAGAGTGGTGCAGGAATGAGTCCTAAAACCCGGAAATGAGTTATAGTGTTTTTAACAGGTAATCTTTTGGTTAGATTTCTGAATTATGGTTTGCGGTTAACACAAGCTTAAGTGATAAGATGTTGTTCTGCGACATCAAATATGTCGGTAAATATCACAAGTGACTAAATGAGAATACTAAACGTCATCACGCTCAACGCGAGTCCGCCTTTAGCTTAGTGATGGGCAGCTAAGTGACTGGTGTAGTTTGTTTTTAGCGTCACGTTAGCTTTTTACTTCTGGAGATTGCATTTATACTTCAAAAATCACGAGTAGTGTAAATATGTGTAGATTATCCTGCTGAATAAAACGTGCAAGTGTCATAAGCGCCTGTTTGTCATAATCCTTATTTTCTGCTATGTTTTAAAATCCAATGGCAAAATCCCATTGCATTAAGTCAGTGGTTCTCAAACATTTTCCGTCAGGAAAAAAACAAAAACACAAATAGTCACGTAATGGGTTAACATTTATTAAAATACATCAATATGAACGTGAGCATTCCTTTAAAGAAATCACTTTGCTAGAACAGTGATAATAAAACAATTCTCCATAAATCTGTGTGCTCAAAAAAATAAATACATAATACAATTGTGCAATCCTTTGCTAGAACAATAAATTATAATACTTTGCCACTTTGCAATCTGTGCAAAAAAATGAAAAGAAAGAAAATGCTGATATTTGGCAAAAAAGTGTCTTCTTATCACAGCATTAGTGGCTGCAATGAGCCTGCTTTGCACTGCACATTTCTTCAAAACGGGGTTTCAGGCTCAGTGGCGGCGCCAGAGATTTTCTTTTGGGGGTGCTGTGGGGTAGCTTGACGTTTCTAATGCCCCTTTCACAACAACGCGGTTCCAGGGCCGGTTCGGAGCTGGAGCTTGAAAAGCACCATTTTTTCCTGTTCACACCACAGCGGAGCCGCCTCTAAGCTCCGGAATCCGGTTTGTTTCAGGCACCAAAAAGTTGTCGGTCTAGAAAGCTAGCACCGCATACGTCACGCTTACGTCAGAGGCGGGGGCAGGGGCATCAGTTTTAATGTTATACCATAGTAATTAATGCTGCAAAGCTGGGTATTTTGAGCTTGGCACATGCAGAGGCTAACAACAGCTAGCTCTAACGCCATCGAATAGGACGTATATTTACCTTCTTTCTCCTACGGAATCGTCGTTGAAGTTGATGATGATTGTAAAGAACATTTGAATGTAGCATGTAACGACTGTAAAGTTGGTAGCAAAGTCTTCCCATTTCTTCCATTTTGTTTCGACAGAGCAAAACCAAAACGAGTAGCGCTTCAATACAATCTGCCATTGTTGTTGTCGATGTGAGGGGGTTCCGCGCGGTTTGGCTTTATGAAGCAGGCATGCAAACGGTTACGTCATGACGCAAACGATGACGCAATGACGCAGCACCAGTCGGACTCTGAGCGGTGTGAACAGAGCGGGAGCTGAACCGAAGAACTGGTTCCGAGCCTTTCACACCAAAAGCCTTGGTGTGAAAGGGGCAATAGAGGGTGAAGGCTAACATATAGGGTTTCCCATTAATGTACCGGTCGCTACAGTTGCATTTTCTACTGCAACACTCCCCACGCACATACACAGTGTATGACGCTGACGTCATTGTTTTATCAGAAACATGGCTAAACAAATCTATTTTGGCCTCTGACATTGCCTTAAATGGTTTTTAATGTGTATCGTACCGACCGGCCTAATAAAGGTGGTGGCGTTGCCATTCATGTTAAGAATAAGTTCAGTGTAACCACATTAGTTTCCAAATCGATCAGTAAGCAATTTGAATTTTTAGCCATAAATATAGAAGTGGCAAAGGGTCAACAGGTCATGGTGGTGGGCTGTTACAGACCCCCCCTCAGCTGTCAAAGACTCCTTGTCTTCACTAGCAAATATTTTATCACAACTAGACTACAAGGAAATAGTGCTACTTGGACATTTTAACTGGGACTGGTTAACTGCAGTGTCAGAGGATTTTAAAAACCTTTGTATCTCTTTAAATGTTACTCAGATTGTGGACAGTCCTACTCGCCCTAACATTAAGTCCCCTAATAAATCCTCCCTAATTGATCTCATTTTAACTAATGTTCCCCATAAATATTCATCTGTGGGAGTATTTGCAAATGATCTGAGTGATCACTGTGTTGTAGCCACAATTAGGGACACTAAAGTCCAAAAGGTTAAACCTCGCATTATCATTAAGAGAGACAAAAAACATTTTGTGGAGCAGGGTTTTGTGCATGATCGGTTTGATTTTGATTGGGGTAAAATCGATCTGTGTGCTGATGTAGAAACCGCATGGTCTTATTTTTATCTTGGTTTTATGGAGATCATTGATAGACATGCACCCCTGCGTAAATTTAGAGTAAAGGGACGAGACAATTCTTGGTTTTCTGCTGAGCTGTCTAGTCTCCTATCATGAGAGAAACAAGGCCTGGGACAAAGGCTAGGAAATCAGGCTCAGAGGTAGAATGGCTGCGTTTTAGGCAGCTAAGAAATAGCTTCACATTCACATATCAAAAGTGCTAAATCAAAGTATTATCTGTCAGAAACCACAAAGAATCTGAATAATCCTGGAAAATGTTGGAAAGCCATTAAATCGTTATCCACCGGCTGATATCCGTAATGAGCTACCTCCGTGCATTACCACAGCATCTGGCACTTATATCGGACAGGGC